GGTAATCTTCGCTATTGCTATCTCTACGTCTGAAGTGTTTCTGGTGTTCATAATTCATTACATTGCCTGGACCAGGCATATCACCTGAATCTAGTTCAAGACCTGAGTTTATAAAGTTTGAACTTCACTTATTAAGCAAGAGTTCATGTGAACTGTTTACTTTATAATGGTTTGCAGTCCTCAGGTACTGCAACAGGAAAGATTTTCATTTGCTGCCGATTTTCTGGAAAAAGACATCTGCTTTTATAGGGCTTTAGATTTTTGAAGTCTATAATCCCTGGATCTATAATTCTTGGGTCTTCTTTTTTGTTGGAGATTTTATTGTAACCTACTAGTTTTGAACTTTGTAAGATCTTCATATTTCTTAGTATGTTGTACTTCTTAGCTAGTGAGTATTCTGCTCCTGTTAATAAAAGAGAGAAGTTTGTATTACAATTATTTATTTCCTTTAATGCATCAAATAATTCAATTATATAGTTAACTCTATGACATGGTTAATACTTAATGGTTTAGATGAAATAAATGTTCCAGATACCAAAGATAAAGCAAAATAATTAAGTATTGTAGAGAAAAAGGGTAAAAATGTTATTGGAATAAAATGTGTTTTATGAAGTCATGCAGTATCATAGGATAGCATCTAAGGTTGTTTCTTCCATTGTTTGTGAGATATTGACTGATGTGCTCCTTTTCAGCCTTTTTTAGGAAATGTTTTTTTGAGAGATTTAAAGTGTACGTTAGTAGATGAAAAATGATGATGGATCAAGATCTCCCTATCTATATATATATTCTTATTTTGTGATTCTATGTAATACTATATCAAAATCAAGAGTCTGATGACAGGACAATACTGTATTTTTTTATTTATTAATTCAAAGGTTCTATGTTTTTTAAATCAGTCATTGTATACCTTATAACCTTTCAAAGCCTATAGACACTCAGGAATTTTTCTTTATTTTGTATTTCTGATAGATTGATTTAATTAGTTCTTCAGTTAATCATTGTTGTTTATTGAAGTTTGAAGTATGTGACTCATAATATAAGGACTACATTCTTATGCAAAGTACCTTATTTCAGATGTGAAGATTTGGGGTTCCACAGGCTGTCTGCCAGTTTCTTCATTTCCTGCTTGTTTGTAGTATGGGTAATCTTCGCTATTGCTATCTCTACATCTGATGTGTTTCTGGTGTTCATAATTCATAACATTGCCTGGACCAGGCATATCACCTGAATCTAGTTCAAGACCTGAGTTCATAAAGGTTTAACTTCACTTATTAAGCAAGAGTTCATGTGAACTGTTTACTTTATAATGGTTTGCAGTCCTCAGGTACTGCAACAGGAAAGATTTTCATTTGCTGCCGATTTTCTGGAAAAAGACATCTGCTTTTATAGGGCTTTAGATTTTTGAAGTCTATAATCCCTGTATTTTATTGTAACATACTAGTTTTGAACTTTGTAAGATCTTCATATTTCTTAGTATGTAGTACTTCTTAGCTAGTGAGTATTCTGCTCCTGTTAATAAAAGAGAGAAGTTTGTATTACAATTATTTATTTCCTTTAATGCACCATATAATTTCATTGTAAGATAATTAACTCTATGACATGGTTGGAGAAGTAGGAGGAGAAGAATCCGGGGAATAATACTGAGCGATTGGGGAAGGTGGTGAAGTATCAGGAAGAATGACAAGAGGTGAGAAGGGGACTGTTGTGATAGAAGGGATTCATGTGAGCATCCAGGTGGGAGCAGTAATGATAACAGGCAACAAAGAGGGAATGGTGTAGATGGAGAAGAGGATGGTGTGTGTTGGGAGAGTGTGGGGGAAGGGGGGTTGGGGGGAACTTGAGGAGGAGGAAGGATATTGGGAAATACTTTATATATAGTGGGAATAGGAACGGAGGGATTGGAGAGTTGATGAGGGAGCGGAGTGTTCCCTTCGGTAATGTTTAGGATTTTTTGGATGTCTTCCAAGAGTTTCGATCATGTTTAGGAGAGGAGTTGGGTGAGGTCTGAAAAACAAAGTTTCTCTTGTGAGGTGTGTGTG